GCCACCAGGGAAGCCCCACAACTATTTTTTGAAAATACTGTCCTTTCCCCATAGAATTACCTTGGTCAAAACATCAAAAACCAGTGAACTAACTAAGTGCAAGTCCTTTTCTGGTCTCCAGTCCCGTTTCATTGTTGTGCGTATCTCAGAGTCGTTTTAATTTGGGGCTGACTTTGGAGGGAGTGACTCTCCCCCCAGCCACATCTCTGTGACCTCCTTTCCCAGGGGCCCAGGTGGACCAATCGGTCTTCGAGGAGCTCATCAAGGAGCAGCTCCCCGAGCTGGCAGAGCACATGCAGGACCTCTCGGCCCTGGCGTCCATCTCCCTCTCCTGGTTCCTGACACTGTTCCTCAGCATCATGCCCCTGGAGAGCGCGGTGAACGTGGTTGACTGCTTCTTCTATGATGGCATCAAGGCTATCTTCCAGCTGGGGCTGGCCGTGCTGGAGGCCAACGCCGAGGACCTGTGCAGCAGCAAGGACGACAGCCAGGCCTTGATGGTCCTCAGCAGGTGGGGACCGCCTGGGCCGGAGGGGCAGCAGCGGGACTCCAGGAGCCAGGCGGCAGGTCCAGGCGGCTGGGCTGTCGCTGTGGGAGTTCTTCCACTCTACCACTCGTCACCCCATGTGCCCCCAGGGCCAGGCCATCAGGCAACCCCGTCACCCGTGTGCGGTGAGGACTCTGCCTTCCCTCGCTCCTGTCCGCCAAGTGAGAGGCAGGAGGGGCGAGGGTATCGGTGCCTTTCTCTGAGCAGGTTCAAGTGTCCTGAGTCTAGAGGGACTCATAGTGGCCTTGAACGGGGGCGGGCAGGCAGACACGGGAAAACGTGGGCCTCAGGCCGCCAGCTGGAGGATTTAGACATTTTGTGCGTAGGGGATGGTGCATTGCAGGGAAGGCAAAGTGCCGCGAAGCTGAGGATGGGAACCCGGGTCCCTTGGAGCTGAGGGCAAGTTGGATGACAAATGAAAAGCTCCTTTTCAGAATACTGTGGAAGCTTAAAATTGCAGTATGCACAGGATTTTGTACTTATGTCACTGGAGAGTCACAGACCCCGGGAAACCTTCCCGTAGCGCCCAGGTCTACAAGTCTGGCTTCACGCACGTCTCTCGTTTTCTGTAAAATGAGTGTAGCAGTTGCTGCCTGGCACTCCTCCCACTGTTTGGAGGCAGACGAGCTGGTTTGACAGTTGCTGCCACGTGTCCAGGGGCCCCTGTGAAGGTGGCAGGTGTCGCATGGTGCCCAGGGGAGGGTAAACCTGTGCTTTTCCGGTGGATGGTGTGCCCAGGTTTCTGGATCACATCAAGAACGAGGATAGCCCTGGACCCCCGCTAGGCAGCCACCATGCCTTTTTCTCGGATGACCAGGAGCCCTGTCCTATGACCGACATTGCCGACCTGATCCGGGACTCCTACGAGGTACCTGGGCCCCATCCCTGCCCCACCCCAGCTCTCTTGGGAGATGGACTTCCAGGGAGGTTTTCCAGGCTACTTCTGTTTCTTGTATGGATGCATAAGGGATTCTGTGAGCGAGTGAACCCTTCCTTCCCTGCAGAAATTCGGAGACCAGTCTGTGGCTCAGATTGAGCACATGCGCTGCAAACACAGGATCAGGGTCCTCCAGGGCCACGAAGACACCACAAAGCAGAATGTGGTGAGTAGAGGCCTCCTGGGAACCACTGCTCCTGGCGGCCAGGTGCTGACCTGGGCTGGGTCCCCTGCTGGTCTCCTAATAGGAGAAAGCCAGCTTTTTTTTTTGCATTGAATTAACAACTTGACAGGGTGAGCTGGTGGAGAAAGAGCGTGGGTTTAGTTTGAGAGTCAGACAGATTGTGAGCAAACTAGCTACTGTGAGCCTCGGTCTCCCCGATTGTAAAATGAGGATAATACTAACCACCGTATGGGCTTAAATGAGGGACAGTATAGAGCATGCCCGGCACCGAGGGCCTGCAGTGTTGATGGCTATGCAGGAGGAACTTCCTGCCCAAGCTGTAGCCTTGCTACTGTTTACTCCCATTAGGACTTAAAATGCTTGTCCTGAGTCATGGACGTGTGAGTCAGAAAAGTTGAGGATAAAAAGCCCTGAGAGAGCCGCCATAAAGTGATCTCTGTGATGGGAACAGACTCTGTCCCGGGAGGAGCTGGGCGCCTGGCGTCCACCCCAGCGGGACGCGCCCTCTCGGCCTCTGGTCCTCCCAGGGGCAGGCAGAGTTCACTCCATGACCGTTTGTTCTTCCCTCAAGCTGCGAGTCGTTATCCCCGAAGTCTCAGTCCTTCCAGAAGACCTAGAGGAACTCTACGATTTATTCAAGGTAGGAAAATCTGGGAGGATGAGGGAGTGGCAGGCCCTGAGCCAGGCCCCAGCTGATGTCATCGCCTGCCTGCGGGAGGGTGCAGAGGCTGGAGGGGTCAGCATGTGCCTGTTGGGTGGCAGCGAGGCTGGAGCGGCCCCCCGGCCAGCTCTGGCTTGGCCGTGCCTCCTGGGCCCGAGCACGGATGCTGTTGCGCTCGGCTGAGAGGCCCTCAGTGCTGGTGACACGTCCTTCACTGCCCTAGGCTGAGTCCCCAGTCAATAGTGGATTCAGGGACTTCCCTGGTGGGGCAGTGGTTAAGAATCCGCCTGCCAGTGCAGGGGACCTGGGTTCGATCCCTGGTCCAAGAAGATCCCACATGCCGCGGAGCGACTAAGCCCGTGAGCCACAACTACTGAGCCCACGTGCCACAACTACTGAAGCCCGTGCGCCTAGAGCCCGTGCTCCACAACAAGAGAAGCCTGCGCACCACAATGAAGAGTAGCCCCCACTCACCGCGACTAGAGAAAGCCCTCGCACAGCAACAAAGACCCAATGCAGCCAAAAATAAATAAATTTATTTAAAAAACTACAAAAAAAAAATAGTGGATGCAACAGTGACCCTTATTGAAATTATCACCTCGTATACTTTTTTCTATGATTATTTTTTTAAATTGAAGTATAGTTGATTCACAATGTTGTGTTAGTTTCTAGTATACAGCACAGTGATTCAGTTATACGTATATATATTCTTTTTTTAAAAAATATTTATTTATTTATTTGGCTGTGGCTGGTCTTAGTTGTGGCACGCAGGATCTTTGTTGTTGCCGTGTGCGGGGTCTTCGTTGCAGCGTGCGGGATCTTTTTCATTTTCTAGTTGCCACATGCGGGATCTTTAGTTGCGGCATGCACGTGGGATCTAGTTCCCTGAGCAGGGATCGGACCGGGCCCCCTGCATGGGGAGCGTGGAGTCTTAGCCACTGGACCACCAGGGAAGTCCCATATGTATATTCTTCTTCATTATAGGTTTTTACAAGATATTGAATACAATTCCCTGTATCACCTCAAATACTTTTCAGTCATAACCTCACCCACATGATGTGTGTACATATTCTTGTGTTTGTGTGGCTGGTCTGCCTGACTTCATGTTCTGTTTTCCCCTGATGCTGTCATTAACACTTTTTCACATTGCCTTATGGTCTTACTCATTTTTAAATCATTTAAAACCTGTCATGTTGGTAATACTTAACATGCTGAACTGTATTTCGACTATTTGGATATTTAGGTGGAAGCCTTGCTGAATTAAATCACCCTGCAAAGACCATTTTCAGGTGCCTTTTCTCTTGCTCGAAGCAGTCAGTAAAAAATGGGGAAGAGAGGCAGACAGTGGACCCACTCCCGACAGCCTGGCAGTGAAGCGGGGAGAAGACAGCCGCAGAAAGCAGGCCAGCCTGGAGGAGTCGGCCACCGGAGCTGTCCTGGTGGGGCCTCTGAGCCGCCAGCACTTCTGCGCTCAAATGGCCGCGTGCTCAAGATGATCCTAAGCAGCACTTGGGTTCCCTGAGCAGAGCCGCACATATTGTCTGACCCTTCCTGTGGCTGTCGTACGTCTCCCTGTGGTCACTGACATGGGTGGCTGGCTTAGTAGGTTCCCGGCACTCCTCACGCCTGGTCAGCAGGATGCGTGATGAGTCCTCAGGCTACGTCTCCTGTAAACATCACCGGGTTTCAAGTTTTATAGTTTCCTCTGTTGCATGAAGAGAAAATACGAAGCCAGAGGTGACTTAGTGTCCCACACCGCCACCTCTCTTTGACTTTCAAGGAGGAAAAACAGGGAGTACTAGAAACACAAAAGCAGGTTAACAAACGTGTTGTTTAGCATAGAACGTCTTTCATTTATTTAGGGCTAACTTCTCAATTTGAGAGAATAAGACACGTCTCACATTTGAATTTATATGACTTAAGAGACTGCCTTAAATTCATCATAAAAATAAGTTTCGTTAAGTACTAACTGTATCATTAATCTTTCATACAAGGAGTATTTAAAGAAGACAGCTATTTCCTGTGTCCTATTTCTATTCTGTGAACAATGTGGGTGAAATTTATTTTCGTATTTTTTTTTTTTTTTTAGCTCTGCAGGCCTTTCATTTGTGTAGGACTAACTATGAATATAAACTTCAACTATAAATGCAAGACCAATTTCAAAATGCACTTCCAAAAGAAATCCCAGGACAAATGTGTCATCATCATGGTGTCTAATTCCGTCTTACAGCCTGAGGTACCTCCTTTATGTGCGCAGAGCCATCCTCACCGCCACAGAACCCCCTCAGGCTGTCCTCCTCCGCTCCCACTGCCCCCCTTGCTGCTGACCTTCCCTGAATTCCCTTGGCTTTCATAGTCTGGCCTCTTATATTTTAATGCTTCTTTAAGTACTGTGAGGTATAATGGTCCCTAGTTGGGTTTTACATGCATCTCTTGTCTCTTGAATCAGAAATTCGTTTTCCCAAGGGAAAGGGCCACACAGAGATACCCTTACATTGTTGTATAAATATGTGATAGGGTCTTATTAAGGAGTCCGTTCCTTAACTTCATTGCCTCCTTCCCTAAGCCTGGAACGTACAGGTGTGACCATTCTCTGTGTTAACAAGGAATAGCCTGCTCTGTCTTCTTTACATACTCTTTCCTATTAAAGATGAACAGTGTGTACTTAATGAAATCTATTTTTATTCTGGTTGGAAAGCAATCTTTCTTTTATGCCTGAATGCAATTCTTCCTTTTCTTTCAGTCTTATTGAGGTATAATTGACCTACAGCACTAAGTTTAAGGTGTACAGCATAATGACTTACGTGTACTGCGAAATGATGTGCAGTAAGTTAACATCCATCATGTCATATATGTATAGATACAAAAAAAAAAGAACAAAAATGATTTTTTTCTTGTGATGAGAACTTTTAGGATCTACTCTCTTAGCAACTTTCAGATATACCGTACAGCACTGATAACTATAGCTGTCATGTTGTACATACATCCCAGGACTTATTTATCTTATAACTGGAGATTTATACCTTTTGACCCCCTTCACCCCGTTCTATAACCCGCACCCACAGCCAGCCCCAGCCTCTGGTAACCATGAATCTGATCCTTTTCTGTGACTTTGGGTTTGTTTGTTTGTTTGAATTTATTTTTGGCTGCGTTGGGTCTTCGTTGCTGCACGCGGGCTTTCTCTAGTTGCAGCGAATGGGAGCTACTCTTCGTTGCGGTGCGCCGGCTTCTCATTGCGGTGGCTTCTCTTGTTGTGGAGCACGGGCTCTAGGCGTGTGGGCTTCAGTAGTTGTGGCACGCGGCTCAGTAGTTGTGGCTCGTGGGCTCTAGAGCACAGGCTCAGTAGTTGTGGCGCACAGGCTTAGTTGCTCTGCAGCATGTGAGTTCTTCCCGGACCAGGGCTCGAACCCGTGTCCCCTGCATTGGCAGGTGGATTCTTAACCACTGCGCCACCAGGGAAGCCCATGTTGCTATTTTTTTTTTTTTTTTTTAGATTCCACATATGAGATCATATAGTATTTCTCTGACTTATTTCACTTACCGTAATGCCCTCGAGGTCCGTCCAGGTTATAAAGCAATGTTTTAAATTACGTAAATTTAGATTTGCAATGTCTGTCCCTTATCCTCTGAAATTGAAAACAGCTTCATTAGTCTTCTCTCTTCAAGTAAGATGGGAACAATATAATACACACTTGATGTCATTGACTACTTTTGGAAATACTCAGGACCTGAAACAGTGCCTATGACATTTTTGTAGATTCAGTATCTACAGATCTTTTCTCATTCTTTTTTAATGGCTTTTTTAATGATGGTAGGGCTTAACCATACTTTATTAACCATTCACCTGCTGAGGGACATTTATCTCATTTCCAATTCTTTCTGCTTTATAAACAGTGCTGTATCAAGCATGCTTGTGCCTTTCTTGGGACACCTGTGCTGCTGTTTCTGTAGGATGGGTTCCTTAGGGATGCACAAACCAAGTTTTAGTCACTATTGCTAAAGCGTTTTAGATTTTTCAAATTTCAGTTCTACTGATGGTGTCTAAGGGTGCTCATTTCCTATGTTCCCCACTCACCCAGCATTTAACATTATGGATCTTTTAAAATTTTACTAGTTGTGTAGAAAATTGCATTTCATTTTAACTTACATTTGTTTACTCATTAGTGAGGTTGAGTACCCTTTCATAAGTTTATTGGCTAATCATATACTTTCTTGTATCACCTCTTCATATCCTTTGCCTGTTTTTATATTGACTTGTTTTTCTGTAGGATTCTGTGTAAACTGGTTGTACTAGTCCGTGGCCTTTATAACCGTTTTCTTCTGGGTAGGATTCTGAGGGCCTCTAGCATCACAGGGTGGCGAATATACACGCAAATTCACAGTGTGTCTTGGGTTTGAGGAATGGGAATTTATCAGACCTTTGTTTCACACTTGAACATTCTTATGGTACTTTTCATGATTCTGCAAAGGTTATTTAAGGAACATGGCTCCAGATAATATGCAGTAAAATTATAAATGGCATTTTGGTTTCCATCCAAGGATGGGCACTTGGATATTGTAGCATCTGTACTTGTTTCTGTGCCATCCTTATGGGCAGAGGGCATTGAAATCGTGAAGAGCCCTGCAGTCATTGGGAACTATTTCAAGTGAGTTGAGATGTCCCAAGAGGTGATTTAGTACAGGTGTAAAAGAAACATTCTCAAGAGGCTAACCTGGTCCTAGGCGACAGGGCCAGTTTTGATTGCTTTAGTTTTCAGTCTATTCCCAAGACTTCAAATTGCCTTTGCTTTTTTTACTTTTAATTTTTTGAATTGTTAATATATTCATGTGGTTCAAAATTCAGAACATATAAAAAAGCACACGGTAAAAAGGCTTGCTTCTCCATCTGGGTCCCTGCCCCCGTTTTCCATCCTCACAGGTTACCAGGGTAAATAGTTTCTTCTGTATCCTATAGATTTGTCTAGTACTTTCTGACTTTCAAATAATATGATTTAAGAAAAAATATCAGAATAAAAATTGTATGATTTCAATAATTAAAACTATGGCAGGGGAGTTCCCTGGCGGTCCAGTGGTTAGGACTCTGCGCTCTCACTGCTGTGGGTCCAGGTTCAATTCCCTGGTCGGGGAACTAAGATCCCATAAGCTGTGCAGTGTGGCCAAAATTAAAAACAAAACAAAACAAAACTATGGCAGCTGAACTGTGCATTTAAAAATTGTTAAAATGGTAAATTTTGTTATGTATATTCTGCTACAATGAAAAAAGAAACCTTAATAAAAAGGAAAAAGTTTTTGCTTGTTACTACAGGGTTACCTGTAACTACATTTCTGGTTGGAGTGGTGAGATTGTGAGTTAATTTTTTCATTTGTTTGTTTTATAATGTTGCTTATTCAATACTGAATTTTACGAGGCAAAGCAAGTCAGGAGAGAAGGCTGTGTTGGCTTTGGCCTTTACGTGTGCGGCCTCCCATGGGGGCCGCCGCCCCTCACAGACCCCTCTCGCTCCCCTGTTAGAGAGAACACATGATGAGCTGCTACTGGGAGCAGCCCAGGCCCGTGGCCCTGCGCCATGACCCCAGCAGGCCCTACGCGGAGCAGTACCGCATAGACGCCCGGCAGTTTGCACGCCTGTTTCAGCTCGTCTCGCCGTGGACCTGCGGGGCCCACACAGAAATCCTCGCTGAAAGGACTTTCAGGCTCCTGGATGAAAACGTGGACCATCTGATCGAATTCAAAGCATTCGTGAGCTGTCTCGGTATGACTCTGTGGGTCTTTCCTGCAGTGAGTTCATTTGGGATGTGAGTCCGTGAACACAAGACAAGTAGACTGTCAAGCAGGCACATCCACTCGGTGAAGTGGGTTTGGGAGTCGCCTGATACGATCTGGGGATTTTAAAAGTCCCTCTGCAGGCTCCTCTCGTGACCACTTGTATGTTTCCTAAGCGGGTGGTGGGGAGGGCAGCCCAGGCTCTCAACATACATGGTTGTTGACCTTGTTCTCCTGGGCACCCAGGGTGTGGTGGTGTCTTGTTAGGAATGTGTCCTGAGACACATTTTTTAAAAAAAAATAAATTTAAAATTGGAGTATAGTTGATTTACAATATCGTGTAAGTTTCAGGTGCACAGCACAGGGATTCAGTTATACATACATATGTGTGTGTGTTGTGTGTGTGTGTATATATATATATATATATATATTCTTTTTCAGATTCTTTTCCCTTATAGGTTATTACACACTATTGAGTATAGTTCCTTGTCCTATACAGCAGGTCCTTGTTGGTTGTCTATTCTATGTATAGTAGTGTGTATATGTTAATCCTAGCCTCCTAATTTATCCCTCCCCCCCCCCCACATTCCTAACTCTTGCAGCTAAAATTAAAATCTTTCAGAAGGTATGAGGCCAGACAAAATTCCTGAGGTCATGTTGCCACTCAGCAGTCACCAGTCACTACCCTTCACATTTTCCTTTCAGGTGCACACTGTCTGGGTAGCAGTAGATGAAGTGTCAGGTCAACAGACACTGACCTTACTACGTTCTCTCTACAGTGACTTTGTGCCCTGACACATGTACTTAAACCATTTGCATGTACTCAGTCTCTCTCTCTCTTTTTGGATTTTGCAGATGTTATGTATAATGGAGAAATGAATGAGAAAATTAAACTGTTATATAGGCTGCATATCCCTCCAGGTAAGAAATTCCAAGTAGAAAAGTTAGGCTCTGTTCTGCCTTGACGTAAATCAGCTTTGGGCATGACCTTGAGGTTCTTCTCTTTTTAAATTTATTTAGACTTGAGGCAACAGATGTTTCTAGTTTGGGGTGGCTGATGGCAGATTTTGAGTACCATATTGTATGGCCTATGGCAGGGGTTCCCAAACTCGAGTGTGCATCAGAATCATCTGGATGGCTTGTTATAATACAGGATACCTGGCCCACCCCAGTTTCTAATCCGCTAGGTCTGAGGACCACACTTTGAGAACCACGGGCCTGTGGAATGTGGGGGAAGACAAACCCTGGTTGCCTTACAGATGGTTATTTTAGCTTACTATTTTTTGAAAAATTGAGGTAAAATTGGTATTATACTAGTTTCAGGTGTAAAGCATGATAGTTCAGTCTTTGTATACACTACAAAGTGATCACCACAGTAAATCTGATTACCATTTGTCCTCATAAAATTGACCCCCTTGACCCATTTTGCCCACCCCCCCCAACCCCTTTCCCCTCTGGTAACCAACAGTCAATGGGTGTTGTTTTATTCATTTGTTTCATTTTTTTAGATTGCATATATGACTGAAATCATACAGTATTTGTTTTTCTCTGACTTATTTTGCTTAGCATAATGCCCTCAAGGTCCATCTGTATTGTTGCAAACGACAAGATTTCCTTCTTTTTCATGGCTGAGTAGTATTCCATTGTGTGTATGTATGTGTGTGTGCAACTTTACTGAATTCATTAATTCCAAGAATTTTTGGTGGAGCCTTTAAGGTTTGCTATATATATGGTATCTGACAGTTTTACTTCTTCCTCCCCTTTTATTTCTTTTTCTTGCCTAATTGTTTGGGCTAACACTTCCAATACCAGGTTGAATAAAAGTGGCAAGAGTAGGCATCCTTGTCTTGTTCTTGATCTTAGGGGAAAAGCTTTTAGCTTGTCACCATTGATTATAATGTTAGCTGTGAGTTTGTCATATGGCCTTTATTACGTTGAGGTATGGTCCCTAAATAACCACTTTGATGAGAGTTTTTAATCATAAGTGGATGTTGAATTTTGTCAAATGCTTTTTCTGCATCTATTGAGACAGTTGTGTGTTTTTTATCCTTCATTTTGTTAATGTGGTGTATCATGTTGATTTGTGGATGCTGAACCATCCTTACATCCCTGTAATAATCCCACTTGGTCATGGTATATAATCCATTTAATGTATTGTTGAATTAAATTTTTAAAAACCCTCAAAGTGTTAGCATCTATTTTTATCAGGGATATGGACCTATAATTTTCTTTGTTTTATTGTATCCTTGTTTGGTTTTGGTATGAGGGTAATTTGGGCCTTGTAAAATGAGTTTGGAAGCATTCCCTCCTCTTCAGTTTTTTGAGTCTGAGAAGTTTAGGTATTAAATCTTTGAACGTTTGGTAGGATTCACTAGTGAAGCCATCTGGTCCTGGGGTTTTGTTTGTTGGTATGTTCTTAATTACTGAGTCAATATCCTTACTAGTAATTGGTCTATTGAGATTTTCTGTTTCTTCATGATTTAGTCTTGGAAGACTGTATGTTTCTAGGTATTTATCTTTTTCCTCTATGTTGTTCGTTTAGTTGGTGTATAATTGTTCATATGAGTTTCCTATGATCTTTTGTCTGTTGTACGTTGTAACATCTCATTTCTGACTTTATTTGAGCTCTCTTTTTCTTGGTGAGACTAGCTAAAGGTTTGTCAATTTTGTTTATCTTTTCAAAGAACCAGTTCTTAGTTTCATTGACCTTTTCTATTGTCTTTTTAGTCTCTATTTCATTTATTGCTATTAATTTCCCTCTTAGAACTGCTTTTGCTGCATCCTATAGAGTTTGGAATTTCTATTTTCATTTGTCTCAAGGTATTTTTTTGTTTTTCTCTTTGATTTCTTTGTTGACCCATTGGTTGTTCAGTAGCATGTTGTTGAATCTTCACATAATTTGTGATTTTTCCAGTTTTCTAGTAATTGATTCCTAGTTTCATACTGTTGTGTTTGGAAAAGATGCTTGATATGATTTCAGTCTTCTTAAATTTATTGAGACTTGTTTTGTGGCCTAACATGTGACTTATCTTGGAGAATGTTCCTTGTGCACTTGAGAATGTGTATTCTGCTACTTTTGGATGGAATGTTTTGTATATATATGCGGTTTAGGGCTGATGCTTCATTATTGATTTTCTGTCTGGATGTTGTATCCATTAATGTAAGTGGGGTCTTAAAGTCCCCTACTAGTACTGTATTGCTGTCAATTTATCCCTTTAGGTCAGTTAATATTTGCTTTATTTATTTAGGTGGGCCTCTCTTGGGTGTATAAATATTTACAAATGTTATATCTTCTTGTTGGATTGATCCTTTTATCAATATGTAATGTTCTTCTTTGTCTTTTATTACAGTTTTTGTTTTAAAGTCTATTTTGCCCAATAAAAGTATAGCCACCCCAGATTTCTTTTTGCTTTCATTTGCAGGGACTGTCTTTTCCATCCCTTCACTTTCAGTTTGTGTCCTTCCATCTGAAGTGAGTCTCTTGTAGGCAGCATGTAGATGAGTCTTGGTTTTTCATCTATTCCGCCACTCTGTCTTTTGATTGGAGAATTTAGTCTATTTACACTTAAAGTAATTATTGAGAGGTATACACTTATTGCTATTTTGTTAATTGTTTTTTGTAGTTCCTCTCTGCTCTTTTTCTCTTTTTTCACTTCCCTTGTGGTTTGATGACATTCTTCAGTGTTATATTTAGATTCCTTTCTCATTATCTTTTGTGTAGGTTTTTGCTATGTAGTTAATCACAAGGTTCACTATATGACAGCCTATATATATAACAGTCTATTTTAAGTTGATAGCAACTTAAGTGTATTCTAAAAACTGTATTTTTATTCCCTCCCCCTACGTTTTGTTTTTGATGTGATATTTTACATATTTCTATTTTGTATATCCCTTAATCAAATCTGGTGTAGTTAATTGTACTACTGGTTTGGCCAAAAAGTTCATTCAGGTTCTTCTGAAAGATGTTGCAGAAAACTCCAAATGAACTTTTTGGCCAACCCAATACTTTTGTCTTTTAACCTTTCTATGAGCTTTGTAAGTGGTTGATCTAGCTTTACCTTTATATTGCCTTTATCAGTGACATTTTGACTTTCATGTTTTCTTGTTGCTAGCTAGGGGTTTTTCTTTTTCTCTTAAAGAAGTCCATTTAACATTCCTGTAAGGCTGGTTCAGTGGTGATAAACGCCTTTAGCTTTTGCTTGTTTGAAAACTCTTTTATCTTTCCTTCAATTGTTTTCTTTTTTTAAAATTCATTTCAGTTGACATAGGACTATTCAAATGTTCTTTCCTTTGTATTTATTTATGTTTAATTTATTTTATTCATTTTTTGGCTGCATTGGGTCTTTGTTGCTGTGCGTGGGCTTTCTCTAGTTGCGGCGAGTGGGGGCTACTCTTCATTGCGGTGCGCGGGCTTCTCATTGTGGTGGCTTCTCTTGTCACGGAGCATGGGCTCTAGGCACGCAAGCTTCAGTAGTTGTGGTGTGCGGGCTCAGTAGTTGTGGCTCTAGAGTGCAGGTGCAGTAGCTGCAACACATGGGCTTAGTTGCTCCGCGGCATGTGGGATCTTCCTGGACCAGTCTCAACCACTGTGCCACCAGGGAAGCCCAGTCTCCTTCAATTCTGATTAACCTTGCTGGGTAGAGTATTCTTGGTTGGAAGTTTTTTCCTTCTAGCACCTTGAGTGCATTGTGCCACTCCCTTCTGGCCTGCAGTTTCTGTTGAAAAATCAGCTCATAGTCTTATGGGGGTTCCATGGTGCATAACAAGTTGTTTTTCTCTTGCTGCTTTTAAGATTCTCTCTTTATCTGTAACTTTTATCATTTTAGTTATAGTGTGTCTTGGTGTGTGTCTCTTTGGGTTCATTGTATTTGGAATTCTCTGGGCTGTGGGAGAGTCCCATGGGACTGTAATTGTAAACTGTGCTGACCTCCAGACCGGGAGACCTGGAGGTGCTCCCCAGGCAACAGTTACAAAAATCAGGACTTCAGATGAGTGTATAAGCCCCTTGGAAGGTACCAGCGAGCTGTGGTGAGGCTAAGAGAGGGTGCAAGGGTTATGCCTCCCTGCCTACATTCCAAGTGCGCCTCTGTAGCCTCTAGGTGTGTGGCAAATCTAAGCCCGTCCCTCAAGTTGAAGCTCTAGGACAAGTAAATGGGCCCTTTTGTGCAGGTGGGCTGGGGGTGTGTTCCAGTCTGTTGTCTGTGCAGTGCCCTGGGTGTGGTAGCCTTCCCAGAACCGTCTTTCTGATTGTTACAGTCCTGTGGGGCCTCAGAACTCATGCCCTGCCGGGCCAGGGGATCAACGGATAGCCCCTGTGTGGACCACGTTCATCTGCTGGCTTTTGCAAGGCTGCAGGAGAGAGGGTTGAGTATGGGACACACCTGCAGCTTTAGTGATGCAGGTGAAGAGCCGTGGGGCGGGGCACTCCTGTGACTTCAGTGAGACTGTGCGCCCACCTCCACTAGCAAGGTATAGGTAGAGTGAACAAAGGGAAAAATGGTGCTTCATTCCCGAAGAAAGTCCCACCTGTCTCTGCCCCTCCAGCAGAAGCTTTAAGATTAGCGAATGGGGGGTTTCCCTGGTGGCGCAGTGGTTGGGAGTCCGTCTGTCGATGCAGGGGACACGGGTTCGTGCCCCGGTCCGGGAAGATCCCACATGCCGCGGAGCGGCTGGGCCCGTGAGCCATGGCCGCTGGGCCTGCACGTCCAGAGCCTGTGCTCTGCAACAGGAGAGGCCACAGCAGTGAGAGGCCCGTGTACCGCTAAAAAAACGATTAGCAAATGGGTCTCCTTCACATGCAGTCCAGGCACTTCTTAAACTGCTGCCTCTGCGCTGGGTCCTAGGACCATTGAGACCCTCAGTAGGAGTATCTCAGATCCCTATACTCCCCAGGTCCCTGGGACATAAGCCCCCCTTGGTTT